AGATTTTTAAGTGAACCATCATTTCCAACAGCATCCAGGGTTTTCTTTAGGAAATTTCCATCCATGTAATATTTGTATGTACTGCCAGCATTGCCCCAAAAGCATCTAGGGGTATTTTCTGTGAGGAGGTCCTGATATTTAAAAGCTGATTTTTCCAGACAAACCAATGAGAAAAGGCACTTCCTTCCTTTCTTTATGTCTGTCTGCCTTTATACCTGGTCATCACCATGGTAGGGGCTATCTTCTCAATTATAGCGAATCCTTTTTGGTATATCAGTGTGCAGTCTTGGGCACCAGTGTGCCAGCCAGACAGGGTCCATTTGAAGCACTGCTTAAGCATTGAAAACTTCTGACTACAATACCCAAAATCTTACAAAATGATGTGGGTGGAGTCCCATCTGCTTTGAGTTTGCTCAGTGTTGTTTGTCAGCTATCTTGTGTAATCTTTTAACATTTTTATCTTGTATTCTACAGGAAGGAAATAAAGCCTTTATACATATATTAAATAGATTCAAGAAATTAATAAGCGCATATCCAAATATGATCTGTTCTCAAAGGCCAGCCAACCGAAAAAGAGGCCACTGTAATGCCTATCTTTAAAAAAATAATTTTAGTTGGTTGACAGCACTAAATGTATTGCCTACAATCTTAAAAGTGAGTCATTCTACAAAATGGAGGAAAGATAAATATACCTAATAGTGAACCTGAAGCAAATAAGCAGTACTTGTTTTTCCCTTAGACTTTGTCTGCCATTAAATTTGTACTTCACAAGTACCCAGAAGAAGCGAATATTCCAACTGAAATAAGAAATAAATGTATAAATAAAACCCTATGCATGTAGCCTCCAGAGGTGGTTGATACTTTTTCATTTGTTTCATACTTTTCAATACTTTTCATTTGAAGTCCAATCCAAAGACCACTGAAGTCAATGGAAAAATGTAAAGAATCAGACTTTGGATTCTTCCCAAAGATCCATTCCCTCATGAAATTTGGAAATGTTATTGGTTTGGGTATTAAGCTGAAGACTGCTAAAGACAAAAGTTCCAGGTTGGAATTGTTTAATATGACCATGTTTGAGGCCATCAAAGAAATTATAGGCAGACTCAGACCTAGTCAGTTTGGCTGCTTACAGACATTTGGGGGGGGATAAGCACTTTACTTTCAGCTCGGTGCACCCCTGCACTGAGCACAACACATGCCCAGAAGAGGCATCACCTTAGTTTCACCCAGCTCACTCAACATCTGTATAGATTGTGCGCTTCAGCAAAGGTTTTTGGCACTTTCATCTAATAGTTGATTCAATCAGCTATTAGATGAAAGTGCCAAAAAGCCCAACTGAAGCACCTGGTCTATACGGATGCTGGGGAGTTGAGTCAAACCAATGCATTTCCTCTTTCAGTAAAGCACTGTTTTGTTTGGGTTGGGGTTTTTTTTTGGGGGGGGGGGGGGGGAGCTTGGGAGGAGGGTTCACATCTGTCAGCAGCCTCTCTTTCTAGAAAGTGCTTTGTTCAAATATTAACTATATGGGCATGTCTACACAGGGCACATTAATGCACATTAGCCTAATTTAATATGCATTACAGGCACGCATCTACACATGCACACCCTTAATGTGCATTCAAATGGTGAAATTAGGTTAATCAGGCCCTCTCCCCTGCTCTCACAAGGGGGCAGGGCTGTATGCTAGGCAGGCAGCAGTGTCTGCTTTCCTGCCTACAAGGTGCTCTGTGTCCTCCAAATCCTGACCAACTGCAATTACTTAATGTGCATTAATGCATGTGTAGATGTGACCCAGCACTAACTTTAACGTTGGGTCTGCCCAGCCACTAGAGGCACATGGCAGGGCTGGATGGCAGGGGCACATGGCAGGCTGCACGACACTGCTAACGTTAGTGCCAAGTCCCTTCACATGTAGACACCTGCCAAAAATCGCTTAATGCGCATTAAATTTAGTCTCACTTAAATGCATGTGTAGATGCATCCAATGATTACTAAATGTGTTAAGCTAGTATAATTTATGACTTCAATCAAGTTGTGCCCATAATTTGACCCATATCTTTACAACCTGGATACCAATGAAAATTTATAATGAAAAGCCAGATCCTGAGGTGTTCTTACTATTCAGTGGTGCAAAGAGAGTCTGCAGCATGACTTGCATTTCCTCTTTAATCCAGGTCTTCTGCACATCTATATTATGCCATTGCATTGGATCAATGCTCAAGTGAGTAAATGAATAAAGATGCCTGGAGGTCCACAAATCATCCCTATTAATCCCTTAGGTACAGAGCAAGTACAAGCAAACACACCATGGCAGGAAGTCTGAAGGACAGATTGAGAGGCAGAAAGGCAATTGCTTTCAGAGGGAGCTAGGTACCTAATGGTTAGGTACTTCTGTAAAACTTGTTAGGAAGCTGTCTGCATCTTTACGTGCCCAAATACCTCTGTATATCTGGCCCTAATCCACATAGATATAATTAACCACATTATTGTGAAGACAAGTAGAAGGCAGGATAGATTTGCACCTTATAGGGTAACTAAAGTAGAAATCAGGAACATCATCTGGGAAATCCAGGACACTGCCCCCGCCCCACTCCCCTGCTCTCACAAGGGGGCAGGGCTGTATGCTAGGCAGGCAGCAGTGCCTGCTTTCCTGCCTACAAGGTGCTCTGTGTCCTTCAAATCCTGACCAAACTGCACCCTGTGCCCCTGCATTTCCAGGATGCCCATTATCATTCCCAAGCCAGCCAGGATCAGCCTCTGAAATCTGGGATTGTCCCAGCTAAAATGGAACATATGGTCACCCAAACGGAAGCTCACTTCATCCTAAACCATATATCCAGCTGAGTCTTTTGACTACAGTACAGTAACAATCCAACAAAAGTTCCTGAGTCCACTATTCTGTCCTCATTATTGCAAATAACAGGGTAATGCAAATCGCCATCTTAATCCTGTGCCACTTAGGAGAGCTCAGGGTTTTTCCTTTGCATGTTGTTATTATCAGAAGACAGTGATTCAACTAACAGTAGTAATGATATGTTTGTGGCTTAAGGGAAAAGAAACAGGAAATGTTGTATGATGTCGATAAACTTACTGTTGGGATTTCAAGCATGAATGCCTGTACTCAGAGGATTGGAGTGTTGTTGTATCTGCCTCTTTCCCAGATCTGAAGAAGGGAACTTTGCACCTGAACGCATGTCTAACATCTTTCCCAACTTATTTATTTAGTTCCTCCAATAAAAGATATTACTCAAAAAAGCCCTTGCTTCTGTAATAAAAGTAGCCAATTTAGCACTGCACTTTGATCTCTGACCTCTGTGTATCTGACAATGCACTTACAATGTACTGTGCATTAATCAACCAATCACTGCTATCAAGGCTTATACACACAGGGAAATTTTCAATGTGGTTATCCCACGGTAATCACACCAGTACGACTCAAATAATGACTCCAAGATCCCTTTCCACCTCTGTGCTTTCAAGAAGGGAACTCCCCAGCCTGTATGTATGCTGTGGATTCCTTCTCCCAAGGTGCAGCACCCTGCATTTGTCTACGTTGAACCCCATCCTATTCTCGTCTGCTAACTTTAGTAGTCTGTCTAAATCTAGTTGCAGCCTCTCTCTCCCTTCAAGTTTGTTCACCTCGCCCCACATCTTAGTGTCATCAGCAAACTTGGACAGCGTGCTTTCCACCCCCTCGTCCAAGTCGCTGATGAAGATGTTAAACAGTGCGGGCCCGAGGACTGAGCCCTGGGGGACCCCACTGCTCACATCTCGCCAGGTTGAGTACAACCCATCCACCACTACTTTCTGGGTGTGCCCCATCAGCCAATTTTTTACTCATTCAACTGTGTAGGCACAGTTGGCCCACCCATGTAGACACCTGATCAGCATAGAGGGCACAAGTACAGCTTTGTCTATGGACCATACAAATAGCAACTCACCCTGGTGATAGTACACTCCAGAATATGACCTTAAACCTTCATTTTGGGAGCCTCCTTGTCTTGTGCCTTGTGATGGTTTGAGTGGTTTTATCCCATTTAACATATTATGGCCTAAGTTGTTCTCTACAGGGTTGTTAGATTTGAAGCTTTTATAGGGTATTTGGTCACTGAGCTTCAGTGGACATCTTGTTTACATTATCATTTCAAAGGAAACCTCTTAAGGCTAACCCTGAAGTTCTCAAGACCAATTGAGACATGTCAGGACACACTGAGTGAGAAACCTTTATGTTGGACTTAGAAAGAATGTTCTGTGTATGCATTATGCATTGGGGCATGTTCTTGGACTTCCAATCAGCAGTACCATAATAAAGCATGTTTTGTAGCATGCTGCCTATGTAATAGTGGATGAAGATGCTATAGAGAAAACATCCAATCAAGCGAGTCATTTGATTGAACCAGGTTTCCTGATAAAGCCATAAGAGCAGTAATTTGCAACTCTAATCAATTCTGATATGGTATTTAACATTTCTTGTAGCCTGTGCACTAAATCTGCATTATTAGCTCCTCAGAAAGAAAAAAGAAAAAAACCTGAAGAAAAACAAAACATTCAAAATGTCTGTAACTTTACACTAACAGCATCCATGTGATATGGAATGAGTAACTGGTTGGAGTACAGGAAGAATTGGAGACTGGCTTTAACCATTAACCACAGATTGGTAATCCAAGCTGTTAAGCGGGGTTTTAGGGACAGTTTAAATTCAGGGAACTATTGGGGGGGGGCATCATTAATGAATCTGGAGCTGGCCATATTACTGGAATAGACTGAACCAAAATCCTGGATCTGAATCCTCTAAACTTCTTGTCTGGATGCAGAAATAATATGAGAGAGAACTTTCATATGATATTTCCAGCCTTAGCAGGAACACTAGGTTACAGAAAACCTAGTATCTTTTTTGTGAAATGTGGTTTTCAGAATTTCAACCAGTATTCTTTCTAAGACTCTTGAGATTGGATTATTAATTATGTTGTTCATAGGAATATTTTTTTCTTGTTTTCCAGTCTGTTGGAAAATTTTGGTACTGTATAGAGATCTGAACTGTATTTCTACAAACATTGGAAATGACCTCCGTCACAGGTTAGCCTAAAGTTCTTGCTCTATGAATTTGTTTCTTCATCATGTCAACCAAGCGGAGATGCATTGTTATTGTTGTCGGTTTCTAAAAACATATTTTCACTCTGTGATATTTTAGCTTTCAAGTTTCACTCTTTAATCTTGACTCATAATGTTGAAGATACGTTTGCCTTTTTATAATTTGTTTTTATAGTTGTTTGATCAGCTCTGGTATGAGGGACCAAGATAGATCCAAGAGATCTGTTCCAATAAAAATCAAGTCATCTAAAGGAACAGTTATAAAAAACTTTATTAAAAGCCTTAATTTGCAAGTACTGTAAGTGACTATAGAACTACTGAGTGTTAGTGATTCATACAAAATGGCTATTTCAGTTACAGCTGATAAGATTTTTTTTTAATCTGAAAAAAGGAAATGGTTGCATATAAAACAACAGGTTCTGGGAAAATGTTTACAACTATTAAAAATGGTTAAACACTTGAAATAACAATAGGATTAGAAAGCTGAAATTTTACAAATAGTTACAAACCTAAGAGAGAAAAAGATTACAATACCTGAGAGAGAAAGATATTCTTAATTGCTAAATTTGCTGAACTCAAAAATATTAAGTTCACTAACGGGTGGCCAGCCTGACAGCCCCAAGATCATACCGAAGTTTTCAGACACTAAGTTGTGAACTAGAAAGGGTTAGGTAACATCAATGGGCAGGACCCTCTGCTAAACTGAGGTTTAAAGTAAGAAGACCACAATGGAAGTTAAATTGCTCCTTTTATATTGCTCCTAATTGATTATGTGAAACAGCTTTAATGCTAATATGGAAAGCGGATCTATTTTATCATTTTGCAGTTAGGATAGATACAGTCAGTTCAGGACTGAACTTAAGTAATTTCATTTCCCTGTTCTTGTATGCTGTCTCACCTTTATCCTAGTCCTAAGCTTCTCTCACCTATGGCATTGCCTCACCCATTACCAGTTCCTCTAATTGTATTTCCCTTAGCCTAATTACTTGACTTTACTTGCCCTAGTTTATCCTAATCTACTCCTAAAAAGCATTCTAAAGCTTACTAAAATCCATGAGTTACCCAAGGAATGTAACTAGTTTTACATTGTTTATGTTTTCTCTTTTTTAGGTACCATGATGAGTCGAAGCATACCAGTCGAAGTTGACGAATCTGCATTCTGGGCCCCATTTCCAGAACAGTCACTGGAAGAGGCTTTGATGCCTTCTGATGAGAATATAGATAATTCGGAACCCTTAGGGCCTTACCCAGCCCAAATGTCTCATGCCATGGCCAGTCGGCCACATTTTGACAAACTCTCTGAACCTACATATTATCACCAGGCTATACCACACAATGTACGGGCTGAGGAGAATGACAGCAGCCTGTGGGTAAGGCATCAGGATTCTGGAAAAGATGTACCTTCCTGTTCTTCTGGTGAATCAGAGGTTGAAATGCTCCTATCTAAGCCTCATCTGTTGGCTATGGAAAAATCAAGCAAGCTGTTGAGATCTCAGCTTTCAACGGATTCTCCTGATACTGGCCACAACTCTAGTAAATCAAACAAAAGTTTATCTGATGCTTCCCAGAATTCACTTGATGATGAAAACCAAGAGAACTCACAGTCATATCAGCCCTTAGATGACAGAGCACCATTGGACCTACCAACTGTAGATACTGGATATGATTCTCAATCTCGAGATGTCATGGGCATCAGACATTTGGAACCTCCGCTACCACTTATATCTGGCTTTAACCGCCAGGACCTTCCAGGACCATTAATATCCAGAGAGTTTCCTGGTGTTGAACCTCAACGATGCCCTGTTTTCCAACGAGTGCCTCACCCTGATGTTTCTTCACAAGCTCCATGTCACCTTAGAAATCAGTGTCCGGTTGATCCATACTATCAGCCTCCATGTAAGTTAATCTAGTTGATTAGCCTTTAATATTCTTCTGTGGTATCACGGTCTTGGCTACAAACTATATTTTAACATATTAATATTAATTCTGTACTTCCTTCTCCACATGGTTATTATTGTTTTTTAGTACCTGCTTCTGATCCAAATATCTTCCCAGAAGAATGTCACCAAATGCTCTAATACAGAACCTCTAACTGAAATAAACTCATCACTAGAACTCACAGGGTATGTCTATACTGCTTCCATGGTGCTCTCAAGAGTGCCATCAGGAAGCCTCCATTCACCGCCCCTGCCCCCAGCTCCTGTTCATAGATTCATAGATTGTAGAGTTGGAAGGGACCACAATGGATCATCGTGTCCGACCCCCTGCCCCTGGCAGGAAAGAGGACCAAGGTCAGATGACCCCAGCCAGGTGACTATCTAGCCTGTTGCATATGTGGAAACAAGGCACTGAACCCCCCGTGAGGACACTTCCTGGTGCTACTCTCAAGCATGGCAAAGTCTTAAGAGCAGCACAGGGGGCATCTTCAGGGCAGCTTCACTGCTTCATTTCTAAGCTTGGTGCATGCCAGGCAAGTTGGTGGGGCATGCTTCTTGTCATTTGGCTTGACAGCATAGCAGAAGCAGTGTAAGACATATCCAGAGTTCATTCATGAGAACAAAGTCTGGTGATATTGCTTAGAAACAGTGCTTGCCCATCTGTGTTCCAGTAATCTCTTCCCTCACTGATATTTCATGTTCTGGTTATTTTCCTGCTTGCAACACTCATGCAGCAACATCCAATATCAGACTGAATCTCTGTTTCCACTGTAGATTTCTCTGCTTCCCTCTGGAATCTCTGAGGAACATTAGGGCTTACCCACTGAGAGCAGGAAAGGTGGTAGCCCTGATTTCCTGCACAGCAAATAGTGTCTGGCAGCCCTATGACTGGGCTAATCCACATAATTTTTTCTTTCTTTGACAAGAGTGCTGCATCAGTCTTCCTCATTTTTTTTCTCCTAGATTTCTCTGTCAGTTGAAATTAAAAGCTTGTGACTTCCAAGTTCCTAGTTTTAAAATAGGAACCTCTCAGCTACCCCCTGCTAATGAACATTTCACTGAAATGTAACAACTAAGCCTACAACATAAATTCACTGTGCTTTGTAGTGGCAACTTCAAGCATGCTGTGCCACTCTGGGCAGGCCGCCTCTTAAACCAGAAGCAGTATAACCACTTGGGAGTGGTGTAACTGGCAGCGTCACTCAGCCATGCTAATTAGTTTGCCTAAAGCAAAGCTATCCAACTGGTGGTATCTTCAATCTCCCCTTTTTGGATGCCTGGTGGATTCAGACACATCTAGATGCCATCAATTTCCTAGACCCCTTTCAGTCCAGTTTTCATTCTGGATATAGCACAGACAGATTGTGCTAACAGCTTTGGTTGATGGTCTTCACCTGGAGATCAACAGGGGAGATTTTGCCTTGCTGATTTTATACAATCTTTCTGTGACCTTTGATACTGTTAACCATGAGGTGCTGATAATTTATTTATATGACTTGGTGGGTATTCACAGGACAGCACTGAATTAGTTTTCTAGCATGGAGGTCCCAAAAGATGGTGATGGACAAGTGATATCATCCCCTCAGGACCTTTCCTGTGGGACTCCCCAGGGTTCCATCTCATTTATCCTCCTTCTCAATGTGTACATGAGGTCACAGGGCAAGATTGTGCCTGAGGTTTGGAGTGAGGTGCCATCAATATGCTGATGGTACCCAGCTCTACCTCTCCTTCTCTTCTGACCCAGGCCCTGCAGTTTTAGTACTTTCCCAGTGCCTTGCTGTGGTTGGGTACTAGATGCAGGTATAACGATGGAAACTGAATCCAGGCAAGACAGAGGTGAGGGTGGTAGGCAAAACATGTGACCTGGAGGGGACTGGGACACCTATCATTGATGGTGTTCAGCCTCCCTTTGTCACTCAGGTTTGCAGCCTTGAGGTTCTCCTGGATCTTCTGCTGCACCAGCATCTTCCGGAGGTGATCATAGCTTAAAGTCCCTTTTACCTACGTCATCTAGTGAGAAAGCTGCAACCTTTTCTTTCAGATTCTGATTTGGCCATCATCATCTATGCCTTTAGAACTTCAAGACTGAGCTACTACAATGCCCTCTATTGTGGAGCTGCCCTTGACAACCATCCAGAAGCTGCAGCTGATGCAGACCATGGAGGCCTGCCTTCTGGCAGGTGTGGGTCACTAGGAGCATGTAACTCCAATCCTCCAGCATCTACACTAGTTCCCAGTAGCTTTCTGGATGCATTTCAAGAGGGTTTTGTAGGTCAAAACCAGCATAAATGACTTGGAACCTACATACCTAAGGAACCACCTATGCTCCATCATGATCCCCAAGATCAGCTAAGAGCAACCTCCTTCACATATCAGTACTCCAAGTACACTTGGCAAAAACATGTGGGAGGTCATTCTCAGCAGCTGATCCTCTGCTCTGGAACTTCCTCCCTCTTGAGGCCCACCAGAGCCTGAGCCTGGACATCTTTCAGAGGTGCTACAAAACTGTTCTGTTGGGGCAGGCATTTAGCAAAACTAAGCTGAGATGTTATCTAGTGGGTCTCTCCTTTATTTTGATTTATTTTGTTATTTTTATTTATTCTAACTGCCATTTTAAATTTCTGTTTCCCTTGCTGTAAGCCACCATGAGCCTTGTTGGGAAGAGTGGCATGTAAATCACATGCATACATAAATTAATTAAGGGGTATATTAAGTTTACAGTGTATGCTCAAACAAGAGCAGGGTCTTGGCTCTTAAAGACTGAAAAGTAGTTTTCATTCTATTACTACTTATAACAGTAAGATAATATTTAAAATAAAGCTCAAGCAGGGGCATGCAGACTTCTGACCCTGTGTAGCAGATGTCTGATGCGGGATCAGTCTGCTCAATGCATACCACACAGGGTCAGAGTGTGGGGTCAGTCCATGGATGCAATCCAGTGCAATCCAGCTCATTGGCCCAACCCTGAATGCTTAGATCCAGCCAGATCCAGCCACGTGTTGTTACAATTTGGCATACTAGGCCACATTATCCAACCCCCAGGGCTCCTTGCAGTCCCAGAAATTTGGCAGCGGGGAGCAGCACTTCACGCTGCTACTGTTCCCCCACCAGCACATTTCCAGACAACTGGGGAGTCCTGCAGTTCAGGGGTTGAGCACCCCTGAGCTTAAGTATTCAACATTTTTGTCATCCTTCTATCATTATTATTATTTTTTAGTTTAGTTTATAACTGAGAGGGTACCACTGAGATTGGGGCCAAAAGCATAGTAAGATAATGTAGGCAGGTAGTCTCTAATCTTTGCAAGGCAGTGGGCAATGATGTTCAACAAGTAACCCACGCTGATCAACTTCGTATCTTGTCATCTTGACCATTAACCTCTTGAATCGTAGAAAATTAGGGTTGGAAGGGACCTTTAGAGGCCATTTAGTCCACCCCCTGCTCAAAGCAGGGCCATTCCCAACCAGATCATCCCAGCCAAAGCTTTGTCTAGCTGGGTATTGGTGGAAGCTCCATCCTTGGATTTTTCCACCTCCGAGTAACCTGTTCCAGTGTTCTACCAGCCTCCTAGTGAGAAAATTCTTCCTAATATCTGACCAAACTTCCACTGCTGTAACTTGAGACCATTGTTCCTTGTTCTGTTATCAGCCACCACTGAGAACAGTCTAGCTCCATTCTTTTGAACTCCCCTTCAGGTAGCTGAAGGCTGCTATTAAATCCCCTCTGTCTTCTTCTGTAAACTACATAAGCCCACTTCCCTCAGCCTCTCCTCATAAGTCATGTGCCCCAGCCCCCTAACCAATTGTGTTGCCCTGTACTCTCTCCAATTTATCTGCATCCTTTCTGTAGTGGGGAGGGCCAAAACTGAACACGGTACTCTAGATGTGGCCTCACCAGTGCTGAATAAAGGAGAATAAACACTTCCCTTGATCTGCTAGCAACACGCCTACCATTGCAGCCCAGCATGCTATTAGCCTTCTTCACGAGAAGGGCACACTGTTGGCTTATATTGAGTTTATTGTCCACTGTAATCCTGAGGTCCTTTTCTGCAGAGCTGCTGCCCAGCCAATCAGCCTCCAGCCTGTACCAGTGCATGGGATTGTTTCATCCTAAGTGCAGGATTTTGCACTTGTCTTCATTGAACTTCATGAGATTTCTTTTGGCCCAATCCTCCAATTTGTCTAAGTCTCTCTGAATCCTAGCCCTATCTTCCCAGCGTATCTACTACTCTGCCAGCTTGGTGTCATCTGCCAACTTGCTGAGGGTGTACTCTATGCTATCTTCCAGGTCAATGATGAAGACATTGAACAAAACCAGCCCCAGGACTGCCCCCTGAGTCACTCCACTTGTTCCCAGCTGCCACTAGACATTGAGCCATTGGTAGCTACCCTCTGAACCCAATGCTCCAGCCAGTTTTCTATCCACCTTATAGTCCATTCATCTAGCCCATACTTCCTTAGTTTGCCTGTGAGAATATTGTAGGAGACAGTATCAAAAGCCTTGCTAAAAATCAAGGTACACCACATCCACTGGTCTCCCCGCATCCACAGAGCCAGTCATCTCATCATAGAAGGCAATCACCTTTTTCGTCCTCCAAGTGCTTAGAAATGGATTCCTTGAGAATCTGCTTCATGATTTTTTTTCAGGGACTGAAGTGAGGCTGACTGGCCTGTAGTTCCCTGGATCCTCTCTTTACCTTTCACAAAGATGGCCGCTATGTTTGCCCTTTTTGCCCTTCTCCAATCATCCAGGACCACTCCCAATAGACATGAGTATTCAAAGATTATGCCCAGTGGCTCTGCAATCACATCAGCCAACTCCCTCAGCACCCTTGGGTGCATCCCATCCAGCCCCTTGGACTTGTATATGTCAAGTTTTTCTAAATAGTCCCTAACCTGTTCTTCCACTACTGTTGGCTTCTCACTTCCTTCCCAAACTGTACAGCCCAATGCTGTAGTCTG